TGGCTAATACAGTGTATCAATAGCACAAAAATGGTCTCCAGGTTTAACTGTCAAATACAGTGACAAAGCAATAACTTTATGTTTTAATTAGCCATGGTAGTGTTGGCAGAATTTGGCACAAATTTTTGTGGAATTATCACACACCAAACCAACACCAAATTCCAATTCTCTTAATCAGTTTTTAATTGCTGATCACTATTTCCCCTTAACAAGTATATTCTTCTTTCTGAAAGCATTTTCCTCAGTCAGTTACAATAAACAAAGAATGCTGGCACCTGTGCTCTCGCAATTTATTTAGCAGGTTTGGGACTCGGTGCTGCAATACTTCCAGCCACGCTTCCTAACCCTTCTGCTCACCCATTAACCTGGTTTTTCACAGGATCCAGTTCTACCTTTGTTCTAGTCTATAAAGCTCTGGGACTTCTTCCACCCTTCCCCATTTCCACTACCCTTTATTCTGGGATGCACATCCAATTGATGACACAGGCAACTAGTACACATGAGAAGTCTACTTAAATCTTTCCTGCTAGTGTCGCAGTACTCAAAGTCTCCCCAAATGATTCCCACTCTCACTGATGTGACCTAGGTAATTTTCCCCTCCACGCTTTCCAACAGAAAGACATCTCTAAATCTGAACGAACAATCTCATCCTCCTCCTGAGCTAACTACCCTGGGCTTCCACTAATACCCTAGTTTGGCTTTACAAGTAACTGCCATGCAACAAAACCTCACCTCTGCTTGCTCCCTTGAGTTAGTCATTCCTGCCGTTACAAATGACATCTGGATGGATTTCTCTGGCACAAAAGGGTATTTCCATTCCTCTTTAACCCTGGTTGAAGGTAATTAAACTGCAGGATTCTCTTGAGCCCATGGCAATTTAGCAGAAGAGTTCTGCATTTCCACTCAGCCCTATTGGAGAAGCCAAGTGCCTGACTAATTTTGTGCATGTGGGTGCATGAGTGCCTGAGCAGTTCCATTTACATCAGTCAGACTACTTACATGCTTAGGATTAATTACACATTTAAGGCAGATTTGCCAGTGATTACCATTAATTGCAAATGCAGTGATTTAGGTCCTTCCATGAGAGATAACACAAGTGCATATGCCACCTTCTTCCTGACTTTTGTTCCTTTTTATTTAAGCCAAATAACTTCCTTAAATTCATAGTTTCCAAAAGAAGAAAAGCTGTGACGCCTAAAGACACATCTGTACTGCTGCAAGTCAAATCTTATCATTTCCAGAGATTTATTTATGCACTGTTCATTCATTGTCATGAAACAAGCAGACTTCATGAATTTCTGAACTGCATTCGAGCTATACAGCAGTGCTTAGAAGCCTTCTACCTGGAGCAGCTGAACAAGTGAACATGAGCTGCTTTCACAACTGTATCATCATTTCAGTCCACACAAAGCAGGCCTGGTGCACAGCAGCTGGTTTAGGGAATTAATAACTTGGCTGTGGAGTCTTATTACCATAGAGACAAGTGGGATATCTGCTGTGATGTAGCTGTGCTTATTCCCACATCATCCTCCCCAAAGATTAAAGACTGGGGAAGAACAGCAACTGCAGAGAGAAGGCACCATTGCACTCCAGACAGGAGGGGATACCCCTATCTGTCTGTGCCAGCATGTAACAGGCACTGGTTTCAGCTCCAGACCAGCAGTGTTTGCAGGAATAAAGGTCATTACAGTCGGCACTTTTGCTGCTGCTTCTTTTTCTGATCCTCATGTATTACCATGACAAAGCAACATTAATCTTACACATCTTGGAAAGATTAGCAACTCCAAACATAATGGAAAATGACAAATTAAAACAATACCATGTTTTTATAATAACCTGGGCAATAGTGTCCATTGTTAAGCCCACCCCCTGATCATGAGCCCATCTATATGCTGCATCTCTGCCTTGATGGCCTGAGGTGTCATGGGCCCACCGGGCTAAAACTAACTCACCCTTATGTTGCCAATTTCAGCCTGCAGTACAGTCAACACCAGGGGATCTGCCAACAGGGCTGGCCCAGCCCAGTAAGAACTGTTACGTACCATAGAGGGGGACAGAGCTCCTGTGGTGCATGTAAACAATTTGCTGGGGAAGACAGTCTGGGTTATTCCTGCTTCAGGTAAAGGCAAACCCACTCGTGGGACTGCTTTTGCTCAGGGACCTGGATATACTTGGTGGGTCATGCGGGAAGATGGGGGAGTCCAACATGTACCTCAAGGGGATTCAATTTTGGGGGAAAACAGCCAATGAACTCAATTATATGCTGTTGCCTGCTACGTAGCACTTTTATAGCACATCAGCTAGATGCTCACTTCTGCCATTCTAGATTTTGAAAAGAAGATATATGCTGTCATGATCATTAGTGGAGAATAAAGTCATGGGAAAAGCTGACAGCAGCAGAACTGTCCTCAGGTCACCACTGACTGGCCCTGGTTTCCCAACCATCATCCCAACAAAGAATGATGAAACCAGATGAGCTCAGCAGTGACCAGACAAGTTCAGTGGTGTCGTCAGCAGGCAACAATCCAATACTGTACACAGTCCCTCCTCCCTTGAAAGACTGTTACAAGAGATAGAGCCTGACAACATGGACTGAATGAATCCAGCAACTGTATAGGGATGGTCCATGGACTAAGGAATGATATCTTTCTGTGTGGAGATACAGATATATATATGTATATATGAAACAAAAAGTGATGGTACATTGAAATATATAGGATCTGAGCATGAGGTCAATCGTATGGAATAAGGGGTGGATACTGTCCTGGGTTCAGCTGTAACAGTTATTTTTCTCCTTCTTAGTAGCTTCTGCAGTGCTTTGTTTTCGGCTTTAGCCTGAGAACAGGGCTGATAACACACTGATGTATTTAGTTGTTGCTAAAAATGTTTACTCTGATCAAGGACTTTTCAGTCTCATGCTCTGCCAGTAAGGAGGGGCACAGGAAGCTGGGAGGAAGCAGAGACAGGACACCTGACCTGAGCTACCCAAAGGGGTATTCCATACCACAGCACATCATGCCCAGTATATAAACTGGGGGGAGTTACCTAGAAGGCCCAGATTGCTGCTCTCATCTGGCTGAGTATCAGTCGGCACATGAGCAATTGTATTCTCTCCCCTTGTTATTTCCCTTATCATTATGGTTATTGGTGGTAGCAGCAGTGGTTTGTGTTATACCCTAGTTACTGGACTGTTCTGGTCTCAGCCCATGGAACTTACATTCTTTCGATTTTCCTCTCCATCCCTCTGGGAGCTGGGGGGAAGAAGGGAGTGAGCAAGCGGCTGCTTGGTTCTGAGTTACCAGCTGGGTTTGAACCATGACAGTTTTCTGTACTAAATTCATTTTAGGGCTGTTAGCAAAACCAGGACAGACATTTTCCTTTAATTTCTCCGAAGGGCTATCGTTATCCAGCAAATGCATGTGGTGGAGGCTGCCTGAGAGGGAGGGACAAAGAAGAAAACGCAGGGCTAATAATGATATAAAGAGACTTAGACTTTAAGGAGTCAAGTCAATTTTCATCCTGATTGATCATAATCAAATACAATAATTGCCAGTTAAAATACCCCTCCAAGAGGGCTCAGTGCTGTAAGCCAGGATCAGACAAGCTCAGCTTCAGCCATCGTCCGACTGGTGCTTGCAGGGCTACTTGCACAAACTTAAGCATTGTATGAAATGCTCCTAAGTTATGGGCAAGTAAATAAGGAAGCAGGGCACTATGTTGTTAGAACAATGCTGCATATTACAGCCTGACACTGTCCTGACAATCCCATCACTGAGGGCACTGCATATTCCAAGATGCAACATGGAAAAATAGCAAAGTTTAGTTTTCATGAGTGCTTAATAAAAGGTGGTGTATTTCTCGACTCCTCCTGTGAGCCTAATTTCCTGCCACAAGAAAGCCCCTTTTAATGTGACAAGATGCATTGGCTGTGCATCAGCTGCTGTTCTGGAGGGTTTTATACTGGCATTTGTAAATCATCAAGTAGCTCAATGAAAGAAAGAGAAAGTTGTGCCTGTCTCTGTCACATTCTTTCCTCCTCCTTTTTTTGCCAGTAATTAAAAATGTTTAGCTGGAAATTCAGACCATTTCCAGTCTTCACATCAGATATCCTGACACAGCCTATAGGCATGTTTTGGTGTAACCAGCAACAAAAACATACTTATTGACTGCTGCCACTAAAATTCAACCTATGGACAATCATGTGCTGCACTGAAGCCATGTAAAATGGTTTGAGTAAGTCACGGTTCCTCAGGAAACAGAAAACCCTCTTCTGATGCCTTGTCCAAGCTTAACAAGGAGAGATTGTTTAAAACAGCAACAAAACTCATCAGTTCAGCACAACTAGTACCCGAGTGTTGAAGATACGTGGCTGTATTATGACATGATTACACCTGTGCAATGAACACTGTCATTACTAGTGTCTCATACTTAGTGATCATCTAAAACACCCTTATCTTCAGAGTCACCATTTCTAAAATCAGTTCCAATCACATTATTTGTCATTTAAACTCACCATATTAGCAATTAGAATGCTTCCCAACAATATTTTCTATTTTTACATTTTTACAACGAAAAAGTATCTTTCTAATGATTTATGAACATGTAAAAACAACGACAGATACTCGTTTATAGCTACATATAAATAGTTATATCTATATCTAAGTGTCTCTGTGTATAGCTGAAAACAGAAGAAAATGAGAAATGTATAGTTTATGTATACACATAATAAAGGCAAAATAAACACAGGGCAGTCATTTCATATTATCTTTTTGATCTATAGCCTACCAGTGGAAGACATAATCTTTTATTTATATTATGTGAGGTAAAATTTTGAGACAGGATTTTCTGTGTCTACCCTCCTGCTCACTTCATAATTAAGCCTGTAGGGCTGCATGGTTTAGTTTTTAATGCTGGACTTGTCAATTGCTGTTATCACTAATTTAAAGTTCACAGCTCCAGATATCAGAAAAATATGAGGGCAAAACAATTTCTATAAAAACCTGTGTTGAGTTGAGGGGGTGGCCAAGTTTTCCTGCATGTCCTCTTGAAGCTTTCATTTCAAACAGCGCTGATTTACAAAGCTGGAAAGAGAGTACAAAGCTCTAGTGACACACACTTCCCTCCACACCTCCATATCCTTGCCCCCTCCATCTTCCTCCCTTTATATATATATAGATAGAGATATATATATATATGACCGAGACAAAATTTTTGCCTTCATTAGTATGTTAGGCTTTTTAATTTAGCTCCAAACTTGCTATCACAATCAGTCCTACCAAGATCAACTGTGACACTCACTATGAAGAAAAAGCACCTCTTATTTTACACAAAACATTACAAGGTCAGATCAGTGTCTTTCATCTCTTCCCACCTTCACCAGACTGACAATAGGCAGCAATAATCCTGTGATATCCACAACTAATTTATCCAACGAGAAGACAGGTAGCACTCTGAACCGCACTGCTGCCTGAATAGGTGCAGTAAATAAGCAGCTTAATGGTAGCCTTTCAGGCAGGAGGGCAACATATCACAGCATGGCATTTTTATAATCTTCTTGGCATGCCTACAGCCAAGAGCACATAGCTGAGCGTATGTTCCCTCTTCTGTCGGGCTTAGGATGCATGTAATCGTTAGATTGTGACACATTGTGCCTTTAAGCAAGTTTAACTGTTTTATATCCCCTCTGATCTACAGCTTTGTACATCTGTTAAGTTGCCTCTTAAACTTCAGTCAGCACATCTGTGGATCCAATCTTTCTGAAGCTCATTGCATGGCTTAGGTTTTACACAGTGTTTCTTTGTGTCTGTCCAGTGTTTATTTGCAAGGAATACCTTTTGTATTAGTGTTCTTGCTGAGCTAGAGCAAAAGACCAGAGTTAAATCTATATGGGACATCTTCATCTGGCAAAGAATTGAACAGGGCACTAGGAAATTATTCCACTTACTTGAACTGGTTATAAACTGGTGAAGTGACTATGACCCTTTTCTTCATGGAGTTGAGCAGAGGGAATGTCTCTTCCCCACTCAAAATACGTTTTGCTCTAGAGGCATAAAGGAGCCAGTTACCGGACTTCTCACACAAAGTCCCCTAGGAATGCTGATGAAATAGCCCCATTAGAGATAGGTGCACTTATGTGCAGGGACACTGACTACCCTCTTCACCTCCCACTGATGCTAGCCAGATTTCAGGTGCCTACTACATGTTGACTAGGCTCTCTGCGTTTTGTCCTCCAGCATGAAGCAGCCCTGTAGGAGCCATAATTCCCCCAAACTGCAGCACAGAGCCTCATTCCAGTAGTGCTGGACAGAGAATTGAGCCAGCAAAGCAGAAACCCCTTTGAATCCTAGAAATAGTTGAGAAGTCCTCCACAAAGGAGTATATCTCATCCCTACCGGCAGCCTGAAGATCTCTGCAGAAAGGCTGATCCTAAATCAATATCACGGTTTCGTTGTGTTACACTATGCATTGAAAGCCGTCACAGAAATTGCTGGCATATGGGGAGAACATCTGAATGCTCCCTCATATATCAAGACTAAATGTCATCTGCATTATTCAAAGCTCCCTGTAAGAATAAACTCCAAGTCAGAAGGGCCTCAGCTTCTACTGTGCAGCCAAAATGCAAAGATGCTACAATAAATTGAGGCTAAAACAGTTACATTTGTCAGCTCGCTTTTTACGTTCTCTTTTACTTGGGGAGCTTTTCCAAGTGTTGGGGGAACTACTGGAAATAAATAATGTAGGAGGTTACAGATCCTTAGATTTACTCCTACCTTGTATTGAAAGCTATGAAGTATTATTCTGTGAGTGTAAAGTTATAAATTACCCCCTGTAAACTGCTAAGCCAGTGTTTAGCAAACAATCGCGGTGTATGTGCAAAAGTATTTCTTGTTCTTCCCCAATGGTCAGCACAGCTCAGTGTACAGCTCTTTGTTACTATTCTGCCAAGGTACCAGTAGAGATCACAGAACTATTCACTAAAATAAATAAATAAATTTAAAATATCTACATTAAGATGCTGCATCTGCTTGTGGATTATTCTCACAGTTGGGATTTCATCCATTCTTATATAAGTATGTCCGCTTCAAACCTAGAAGCCCAAGAACTAAAACAGAGGTCTTCAGACTGGGCAAGATCAAACAAGACCAAAAGCAAGTCTCAAGGATGTGTTTGCTACAGTTATTCTAATGCAAGAGTTCAGTATCTAGAGGTGCAGTACACTGCTGGAGAGAGTGTTACAGGAAAGGAGAGGCTCTGCTAGGCTTCCTCCCTAGGATCCTGTCATACACTTTGGCATCCTGAGGAATACGATCATTTGATTTATCAGTGTTGCAGGATTATTGAGAGATGTCATGACCGCCTCTACCAGTTCGACAGACAGCCGCCAAGTTTGTCTCCACACAGTAGTAATACTTTGCTGCCAGATGCATTTCCTCTCTTCAGCCCCTATGACACCTTTCACACTCTCCCCAAAATGATAGGACCCTATGTTTATGTATGAAGAATGTTCCAGAACAGTGAGAACAGACTTCTTAGTGCAGCATCATTACCCTTTGCTTGGCAGAGAAGTAGAAAAGAGCCTGTCTGAGCTGGCAACCATCAGCTTTTATAGTCTAACAAGTTCCACTACTATAATGAAAATCCAAAGACCTGGAAACAATATACAGAGCTTCCCTGACTAATTTTATTATGCAGACACACTTAATAGCTCCTGTTACAATCACATTTATAGCAGGAAAACAGTATTGGATTGTGACTATCACACTAAATCGACATGGATTATCAGTCATTAAAAAGGAACAAAATTAGCAACAAGCAGTAATATTTTACACTTATCAAATCTACAGCTGGTCAAGGTTCATTACAATACTGTGCAATAAAGTCAGGAAGCATTGGCTCATTCTACAGAACATTTAAATCTCTATTGTATTTGTGTAGGATATAATTTCTGATAGCAATAAAGCCTAATAAAAGTTACACCCTGATGAATAAAGTGTTAATAAATTGACCTAAGACATTTAAATGGCTAATTATATTTGAGATAAAGGAGGATTCACTTGTTTCTGTAGACTGTTTGAAGCCATACTGTAACCAGCTAACTAACAACTACAAAATTATTTTATATAAATATATCTCTGTGATATAAAATATTAATCTTTCTAGCTCCTTTTTCAATAGATTAATAATTAATCAGAATTTCCTAACACATTTCCTATTCATCAAAAGACTCATACCTCTCTTTAAAATGGCCAAGCTTTGCATAACTTAAACTATTCCCTAGATTTTATTTAAAAGTATTTACACCAACTATGCTTAGCTTTTCAATAGGCCCTTTCAGTAATGTATTATAAAATAATGATACCCTATGATAATACCAATAATGATATTACAAACTGTATGTAAAGAGACAGCCCAAACAAGCACACTGACCAGTCATGTAGGATAGTTACCATGATGGGTCTCCCAGGATCCTGTGCCCGAGATTGAAAAGCTGTTGTCCGTTCAGACTGAATCAAGAGTTCCATCATACCCGTTCAGACTGAATCAAGAGTTCCATCATACAGCACATACTTCCTTCCAGATAGTTCCTTATGAAAAAAATACCCCCTCAATTCAGGAGACTCTCCCATGATCACATACGCAAATATTCACAAACAGCTAAGTCCCAGCCTCTGAGAGGGTTCAGGTGCCAGCTCCACAGATGCCACCTGCTTGCACGGCATGGAAACATGCTTCCACATTGCAAACTGAACATTTCTAGCCATTGTTCAGTAATCTATTTATTGCTAATTGCACTTAGTCTGTTTGTTCCACTGGGAGAAAGGTGCACAGGAACTAGAATCTCTGCTTGACTAGACAAGCTTCTGCTAGAATACAACTTTAATTAGGACCATATTAGACACCATGAACTAAGCCACTGCAGTTTGCAACTTCTGTTTATCTCATGTCACACTTCTCTTCCAACATGAGCTACAAAATTACAGTATGTTCTGGTTTCTGGAACATCACCAAGCTTGAGGATTTTTTTCACAACTGGTCCTAGGTCAGTGAAGCATTTACAGATAGGCAGATGCTCCAGCACTATCCTGAGACTTCAGGATGTTGCTGAAATCTGGACTCATTTGTTGCAATCTTCTTTTTATAGCAAGATGCCCAACAGTGACAAGGAAGAAACTTAACTTTAAAATGTGTATATAGGTGTGCACTGTTTATGGACACGGTTTTAGCATTTCACAAACAGCACCATCATGACCATGTTCTATGTCATTTGACCCGACTTCTCAAAGTAGCTGTTCAAATACCAGCTGTTCCCCGAAGCGCCTGCAAAGCAAAGCTCCCCTCCAATGAGTCTCACTCTCCTCGGCACTGCACCATCTCTGCTAAGAAGGGTTGCCAGTACTTCCTCTTCCTTTTCTTCCTGTTGCTCCAAGCCCAGACTAACAATGCTCAACCCAAAGGGATGGAGAAGGGGCAACCCCAATGAGTTCCAGCTTCTCTTCCCTTCTTTCAGTTTCCTGGCCCCCAAGATTGAACCAGCTTAAAGCTGAAAGGCATTCCCCAAGGCACCTTGAAGAACATAAGGAAGAAAACCACCACTCACATTTTGAAATACAGTTAAAAGTATTCTAGTTACTTTGTGTGACATCAGAGCTACCAGACATCAAATGAAATCACAATATTTGAGTCAAGTCCTAGAAACAACTTGATGTGGATTCCTCAACAAGCTGCTAAATTCTCTAGATGTACTGGAGTGGTATAAAAGTCCCTGTTTGTGACTCTGTTGTATTAATGTTACACACACAGTATTACACAGAGTATCACCTGTCTGCATACAACATTTTCTAATGCGTGGAGAAATCAGCCCATGTCCTTTGGTGGAAGCATTTACATACTGAAGAAAAACACCATAAGGTAAAACCAAGTAGGGCGCTTACCTAGAGAAAAGGCTTTTTCATTGAAAACCTGCAAATACCCTATATTATTAATCCTTAGTAGCTTTATAAAATCTTTTGTTAGTGATCAGGGTAAAAAAAGCTGATAATTTTCACCATTCTGCATATTTGTAAAAGGTAAACATAAATCA